TACGTTGTTTTGACACCTACAAATGGAAATCTTGTGAGACGACCCAACCAGTCTGAACGGAGTCCGTAGAGCCTGCCAATGCCCAAACACACTAACCATGCGATATCTTCTTACGACTTTATCTGTTATGCTTAACCATGAGACCATACATATCTCCTAATGAGAAGATAGAACAACGTCTCACTCGACAAGTGTATGCATCTCGTCGATAAGAGTCCTCTTTATCAAAGTAAAAAAAATTCTAAGTTCGCTTTTTTCACGAAGTTCAATCTTCGGGTGCATATTTCACCTTGTGGAAACTGCGAATGTATAATAAATGATAAGGGGCTGGCTCTTGTAATTTAGTATAATACTGTAGTCATCGCAGCAGCTCATATTTTCGATACCAAAGGACCGAACCTCCACAGTTCTGTTAGTAGTGACTCTTTTTCCTGCCACTGCATGATCCCAAGATGCATTTCGGGAAGGGAAAGAAATGCCTGACCGACTGAAAATCTGATGTGGAGTGGGGTCGAGAACGTGAGCGCGAAGCTTTTTCTTCGTAAAGTCAGCATGGACGTCTCCTTTCAGTCGATAGATCTTGTACCGCTAGCTGAGGCCTCAATGCATTTTGAGTTGAAGGTACATGCCTCGGCAGAGAACGATTGGGTTATCGGGCCCGGAAGTGAACGCATGTTGGTGAGGATTGGTCACAAGTATAAAACATGAAAGGAACTTGCTGAAAATCCTTGAAAGCACGATCATATTGTAGGATTCTTCGCTCCTCCCCTACCAGAGTTTTCTTGGTTAAATTCACCCCGTAACCGCAATTTGTAATATTGTACCATATTAGAGAAACGACAACGGAGACTACGCATGCATACACGACACAAATCGACCAAACGTGGCGCCGCTTTCTCACGCTCTCGTTGTGAGGATCAAGCCCTGAATCGTAGGCCGTAGAGATCGACCAAGCTTTTTGTTCCTCTAGGGTCAGTGTTGTCAAAAACCATGTCCATGAAGATGAAAACATTGACTCATCGGCCAGACGGCAAGTCACCTTATAAGTCAAATCGCGCTCAAATGTCGCTACGGTTCTTAGTTGAAATTGAATGCGTGGCATTACGCTGAGCATTTTATAGTTTACCCTTCATATGTCCATGTTGTTACAAGCCTGACACTAATGAGGATAAATTACTCGAGATTATTATAGGTTGGGTACGAAAACCACAAATGAGCATGAGGCGGAGTTCCTCCATCGCATCCTGGATCTTGCTCTAAAAACGAAGCGCCCATAATAACTGGGATGTTCATCATGGGGGGATGTACTTTGTGGTTTTGAGAATTCATAGAGGAGGGTAGTGTGTGCGTTTGAGAATTTCATAGAGGGAGGCCACATGAAAATCATGTCCTTAATGACTTGTCTGGTGAAGTTTAGCTAGAGACATGAGATTCTCATCGAAGGCCTGCGACCTCTTGATTCCATCTACTTCTGTTCGGCTTAATGTTCACGAGTAGAAGTTCAGGGGAGTAGTTTATGTTAGTAATTTCCAATATCTTGCTTTAAGGAATTCAGTTCTAAGCTGGCCAGTGATAGTTTGATGGATAACGGTCATTTGGATCAAGTTTTTATTTTTTATATTTTCAGATGGGGCCGTATTTTCCATCCTAAATACACCAATCCATAATATCCCGTGTTGCTTTGTTGTAAATTTTTTTTGTATTTTCCAATTTACTTGACGTTTCCTCTAGTACAGGTGTTTTGGGTGGTGGTTGTGACCATCAGGCCGTCACCCATTAAGGCTGGCTCCATGGAAGGTCACGGCGGCGCTGACGCGTATTTGCGTGTTGATGGGAGGCACAACGGGTGCGAGGCGAGCAAGAGCAAGCTTTTCCACCATTACTTCAATAAGTTAAGTACTCCGAGCATCTATCGTGCTCTCACTTCACTGTGTGATAAGTAGAAGTAAGTTGGAATCGAACACGAAAACACTCAGCTCAAATTCCTGACAAAGTACTCCTAAGGGTTTCCACATGAAAGCCCCGATTCCTTCTACATTTTCGAGAAATTTCAGTGCTAGATGTACCGAAATTAACACAGGTAATTTTCACGTGGACAATTAAATTGACAGGTTGCAGCTTGTTTGGATATTTGAACGGTTGACAAAAGTCCAGTCTTATTCGAGCAAAGTGAGCAGCGGTGCTGGCCACTGCTCGCCCTTCCTTCGAATCTGTCGCAGCTGTGACGTCATTTTGACGTCACCAACACGCGAACGCGTCCGCGCCGCCGGTGACCTTTTCTCTCCCCCCCCCTTAAAGGCACGCTCCACGATTAGGCGCGCTTGCCTCTTCCATCCCGGGGGTAGTAGGCAGGCGGACAAGTGTTGTTGTCGCACCCCTTTTGCCGCTTGAAAGTGCGCGACAAAGGCACAAGCAGCTCGTCCGACCTGCAACTCACACCTTCGTCCGCAAGCCCCACCCTCCGCTGTCCGTTGCCACGTGGCGCTGCTTGAAAAGCGCGGGCGCATTTGAGGCAGCGGTCCCACCGCGATCCTGTGTCAATGGCACTGGAGCAACTAGAGTCAGGCTCGCGAAACTCGTCCAACGCGCCTTTTTCTCTATCCCAAGGTGGAATGTTGCTGAAATAGGGGAGGTTTCTGTACGGGGCGTAATCTGTGATTTCGTTTGCTTTCCTTCTCTTTTATAGACCACCTCCCACCTCTAGTATCATGACTGAACGCTTTTAGACACCTATTTTATCCCGAATCTTGCCTTTAAGTAGAGTCACAGTTCGCCAGTTAGCGCGGCAGCATTCTATATTGAGCGTGCAATGAGGTTGATTGTACTTCTTTAGCGACTCGTATGATGAAACATCACTCCATGAATGAAATATTCTAAGCAGAACGTGAATGAAATGGCAGATAGAGTACCATACCATACTCCAGGTTCATGTATTCCCGTCTGCTAAAATAAAAACTGTGGCCCGCGGTGACTCGAGACTTGCCGTAGTCTTCGTAATAGTCCTTGTTCAGGATTATTTCATAACTTGGATTGTGCAAACAATACTGCATACCTGCATTTGGATACGTTTGTTTTCAATAAATAAGGTAGATAATGACAACACTTTAGTGGTTTTCCTTTCATCCACACTCCTGCGGACTCCCTATCCTGAAAGTAAAGACAATAAACAACAGAATGATGACCGTCCTTGTCATCCTCCTGAAAAGGACGAGACTATTGTTTGGGAAACGAAAAGGATATTTCGCTAATGCACCTTCCGGATAAGTGGAGTCGCCGTTAACTTGAGTTCCATTTTTCTGTGTGCTTCAGTGCAGTTGAGGATCTTTTGTGGGATTCTTCTAGTGAACGTACTTTGCCTGACGGAGGTGGGTTGCCAAGAGCCTCCGAGGCAATTCTTCCCATGTGGGCATTATCTCGCATTAGCGCCTGTAGTGGGAGGCGTAAGAAGATTGATGGCGACTGAAACCGGAGATGAATATTTACCTTCTGAATACATTACCGGCCCTTTATATACCGAGGCTAGGAGCGCTAAAAATCACAGAGCTGTCCTGATCCCATGTATACCCCGAGTAATACCTTGTGGGAAACCAGTAATTAGTAATCATAATCTGCGCCACATAAGCAGCGTGGTCTTACTTACTCACATACAGGCTCGAAGAAATACTCCGCTCGTTTGTAGTAAGCATATTGGGGTGGGTTCCGATTTTTCCTCTGAGGATAGTCACCTTTGATTAGGACACTTTTCTTGAGGCGGGCCTGAGCCTAAGCTTCAGCTCAACCCAACTCTAACTCCAAGCTTGGGTTTGTGCTTGAGTCGGGGTTTCGACCACGGTGCAGCTCTGCAGCGAGTGCGTTGCAGTTCTCCTCCTCAGGTCAGGTCACCTAAAATTGAGACACCACTCATTTGCTCGAAGCAAGCTTAGGACTAAGCCTAGGCCCAATCATAGGCTTAAGCATAAGCCAATGTAAGCATAAATAAGCCTAAGCCTAAGCCTGAACCCAAGCTTAACCTTAGGTTTCAATGATCGCGCAGCTCTGGTGACCTGACCCCAGGAGGAGAACTGAACTTCTCCCTTTTGCAACTTGGCCCAACCGAAATATCTAACAGTTACCCAGCCTTTTGTGTTTTTCTATCGACTAACCTCTCTTTGGAATACGTGCTCATTTATGGAATGTTTTCATTGTCTTCACATTTTCCTATCAAAGCCATACATAGGCTCATCGAAATTTTAGAATTTGTAATAATTATGGGATCTTCCGCAAGAAACTTCTATGGAACCTTCCATGCATGCAAGATTTCCTGTTTATATACATATTTGACGGTCCTGAGAAAAATGTTCATTGACAGGGTTAGTCATAAATGAGCAAATTTCGGATTTCGCCCTCCTCCCTTGATGGGGTTTTGGTGCAACCCGCTTTCAGCCTTACTCCTAATTGTGTCTGCCAACTCGAACTAGTTATACCTAAACATATTCAATCCTTGGAGTTTCGATATTTCGCAAGTTTTCTTAAGGTCAGGAGAAAATTCTCTGCCTTTAAACTCCAACTTTCTCTTCAATAGTCTTATAAGTTTCCATTTCACAAAAAATCAACCCTGCCCCACTCACATTGAACTTTATCATGATTAATCTTTTATCTGTTCAGTAAACAACCATCTAGAATCGTTGATTGGGGTAACGGCATGAACATAAATCATTCAGTGCGCATGTGGTGTCCGTTTGGGGCGTCCCCATCACTTTCGCGCTTGAAGCAGGGTCAAGCGAGTGGCATCTTTGAGTCAGGCTTCTTGTGTTTTTGAACGAATCTGCTAGCAAAGAGCCTAGCCCAAGTGGATGAAAGCTGCACTCGCCTTCCTCGCGATTCTTCTCTTCCACTTTTCTTTCGCAGTCACAGTGTCCGCAGATTTGCTTAAACCGAGAACATTCTGGAAACCGTTTTGAGAAAGTTCATCGAAATTTCTTTTACCAACTTCTCTTAATGAAAATGCAATTCTTACCTCCATTTCGTTCTCAAACAGTCATACTGTGTTTCCTTGTTAATGAATTTTGTAGTTCCAGCCACCAAAAAAAAACATTGTCGAATCCCACCAATCTTTCCTTTTTCGTCTTCCTTTTTCAGGAGACGACAACCTGAGCAATCACGTTTTCTCCTCTCAACTCCTTTTTTTCTCTTCACATCGTCCCTTCGTTCAGAATACGACTGTTAAAAATTTTCAACAACTCTCATAAGCTTCAATTAGCCCTAGGATCACGAAAAATATGTAGGTGATGTTACATAACTTCAGATTCGGTGGGAGACGAATTCATCATCTCATATTGTAGTATGATAATTTTTAATGTTGTTATGACTATTTAGAAGTTTTCTAAGCCAAACAATGCGTAATTCAGCGCTTCAACGATACCCTTTCTTCCCGAGAGTTACCATTCCTTCGCCAATACGTGGTCTGGAATTCCCTTTCCCCAACTTTACCCATGAGTATTCGTGAAGAAGATTTTTAATTTTCTCTATGATCACGATCTGCAGAGGGCGAATGCGCTGAGGGCTTAAGGCTGTGCTCTATCTTAAAATTCACTCCAATCTCTATTCCATCAAAGCTTCCCTTCTATCAACAAAAATTTCCATTTTCAATTCTCCAGCAGTCAACTGGAACGACAGCAAATCAAGGCTTTGAAATGTCGTCGGCAATGAAATTCTGCTACTATTCGAAGAATCAAATTCGAAGGACTCTATCGTCGAGCCCGTAGGTTTAACGCATAAAAGTCGATGAATGCTATTCAAGTAGCTATTTGCCATTGTAGGTCCACGCCGGACGGTCGATTTGAGGAATTCAAAAGGAAATTCAGGCGAAGCGGTTCACTTGGAATCCCGTTTGTTCCTGAGGAGGACATCAAAGAACTGTTTGGCAAAAAGGTTACCATCTAACTCACACCTGCATGCTCTCCTGTCAACTACTACTGTACAATTGTATAATTAGTGGAAATTGGAAATGAATCCCACCCCCATGGGTTAAGGCAGAGAAGGTTGGGGAAGGAGAATTTCTCATTGCCTCCCTCAAAGACTGTACTTTGTTTTACGTGCAGTTTTCTCAAGTTATGGGAGTTATGCGCGGGTCACGATTCAAATTTTTTTACGTTGGATTATAAAGTGAAAGTTGTACTTTATCTTTGGCACCGGTAGAAAGCTGCGATCTTTGATGAGTGGGAGGAAATGGAAAAATTGAATGTAATTTCCATTTCAAATCGACCCTCCCAGAAATTTCTGCTTCTATTTTAGCGATCATAGAGCGATGGAAAGCATAGAAGGCCCTCATGGCGCCATGAGTTCACAAGAAATATTGACGGGTACCCGACAGGAGGCCCGTCGCGCGGCAAGAAGGCAGAGTCAGCGGACGAGTCGCAGCGCGTGTGTGCGATGTAGGACGTACAATGGTACATTCTATTTAACTTGACGCGAAATCACTACAGTACGCGCTGCGACTCGTCCGCTGACTCTGCCTTCTTGCCGCGCGACGGGCCTCCTGTCGGGTACCCAATAACAACATCTACAGCCAGATTCCGCAATAGGCAAGGTGTGCATTGTGGTGCTTAGAATGGGAGCCATAGGTAATGAGGAAAGACATGTGATCCACCATTGGTTATCTAGACCAATCAACCTGCTAGCCCGAGCAATCTCTTATGGTTAGCTGTCAACATTTCGGGTTCTTCTCTCTGGAATTTTTGAGTT